AACTGTCTACAACATACATTTAGGGAGCTATATAGAAGCCTATGGACATCCTGGAAAGTTGAAAATGTACGCTAAGGGCCCCCCCCCCTTGCGTTGGAAAAAGCCGACACAGGGGACTTGACATAACGTCAACATAGGCCGACCAGGGAGTGTTGATAATAGAGCTACCAATAACCAGAGTTGGCTTCTCAGCGGGTGTCTCGCTGAGTGGGGAATATCTGTTAGATACGTGAACGGGTTGGTGGGGACCTGCGAGTCTTGCTTTATGCCCCTTCTGAACATTCACCCTGTCTCCCTGCTGCTCGGGAGTTGCCGGGGGACGGCTAATAGGAGCTACCTTTTGCCGGTCCGCACCGGCTAACATGGGCTTTACTGTAGCTGAGTTACTTTCTAAAATGCGGAGCCGGGCTTCTATGGCTATGATTCCCGCCTCCAACCTAACAACTATACTACATTTAACACATGTATCGGTACCAGTAAAGGAGGTAGGGAAGTAACCAAACATGAGACAGAGCAGGAAATAGCAACGGAGGGTGGGGAAAGAGCCATGGCTAGCTATCAAGCTAAAGTAGCTACCGTTAGCAAACCCGAAAAGAGTGTAGGCAACTGTGGAGTTACAGTCGCTAAGAGAAGGAGAGTTGTCATTGCTTAAGCTGTAGTAATGTGTGATTACAACGTCAGGCAGTTGCCGTGAACAAGAGTTTTAAACGATCGATTTAAGTTAAGATAATATAAGCTATCAGGAGCAGAACAGGCACACAGGATACCCGGAGGTGACAACAACAACAACCGGAAGTTACATCACGCTTACCGCAATAGTGAGGGTCCGTGTAGAAAAAACACAACAGAAATTAAAGGATCTGAATAATTTGTCCACCAATACTGCTCAGGGATATTATGAAACCAATACACCTGATTACCTCCTAACAGAATTGAACATCACTATATTGTAATTATTTATATAGGCTTTTTCGATCAAAAATGTTCGGGGTCGGTCAGGGGGTACTTGGCTGAGAAAATGTTTCAAAGGGGGTACATTACTGAAAAAAGTTTGAGAAGCACTGCAGTCTAGCTGTTCTGCAGGATCACCAGGTTTGATTGATAGGCCTCCTGAGACTGTTTGTGTTGTATCTGTGTTGCCCTGAAGCACAGAGAAAACACAGTCAGTGATCAGATATATGAAACACACATCCCGAAGAATAACGTCAGGCTTTGGCAAGGAAAAATAACTCTAATATGCAGTATATGTAACACACACACACACACACACACACACACACACACACACACACACACACACACACACACACACACACACACACACACACACACACACACACACACACACACACACACACACACACCATTTTGTTCCTGTCACATACAGTGAAGAATAGGACCTCAGGGAAAATCACTGAGCAGACAGCTGGCGGAAGTTTTTGATTTAATGGCTGAAATTAGTTGAATAAATGTGTGTGCTACTTTCCATCATCCCATACACTCACTCTCAGACACACACACACACACACACACACACACACACACACACACACACACACACACACACACACACACACACACACACACACACACACACACACACACACACACACACACACACACACACACACAACAGGACCAGAGTATCCTGTTGGGATGGAGGCAGTATATGAATGGAGCAGTGAACCCTGGGAAAGACCGTCTGCAGCCGAGGACAAAGAAGAAAAAAGCCATTTCTCACTATCAGCCGCTCATATTATTGCTGGACTGTGGCCCTTCCTCACATGTCTGTCCAGTAATTGAGTTGTAACACTACACACACACACACACACACACACACACACACACACACACACACACACACACACACACACGCACACACACACACACACACACACACACACACACACACACACACATACCATGTATACATCACTTCAGGGGACATTACATTGACTTACATGCATGTCCTGGAGACTTATCCTAACCTTAACCAACACATGCCTAACCCTAACCCTTAACCTTAATCTTACCCTTACCCTAACCCTAACCCTAACCCTAATCCTAAACCTAACCAAGTCTTCACCCTAAAATGAATGATTCCCCTCATGGGGACCTCCAATTTGTCCCCATAAGGGAAGCCAGTCCCCACATGTGACTGTGTAAACATATGTAGGTCCCCACAAGTATAGTAATGCTAGACCACACACACACACACACACACACACACACACACACTGTGCACTCACATTGAGCTGTCGCCGAGCCATCCAGGAAAACAGAATGCTGCTGAGAACATGAAGGAAGGGGAAATGTGGAGCCCTCAGGAGCTAAATCTCTCTTTCTCTAACAAAAACACACACACACTTACCAACAATAAAAAAGACACCTCTCTACTAAAGGACGGGTCAGGACTGGGGGGTTCTGACACACCAAACTCAAACCCTGTCACAGTGAGGCGTCAGTGATCATGGCCTCGACCCGGCCTTGATGTTTCCAGGTTTAAATCAAATCCAAGGTTTCTTTGTCACTAAAAACTGTCATTTAAAATGAATTTATAGCATACTTCACCTAACAATAGTAAATCACATGTGTATAGCAGGAACTGCACAGGAAGAGGCTGTAAATTCATGGCTGCACGGTCACTCCTTATTTCAGGCCCTCTTACCACTTTTCACCTAAATGAGTTCAATTGTAGTTTTGCAGTGTTGAGTGTTGAGTTGGTTCAACTTCCAAACCTCCTGAGATCCTGTTTGCTTTTCAACCAATAAGAGTCAAGCCTGCAATGTGTGCCATCCTGGAGAATTACCAATCAGAAGAAAGCATCTTCATTCTGGAGAAGCTCCAGCCATTAATGCCTCCTGGTTTGACAGAGACACGTGAAGCCAGCTCCCATCGATCAGGAGAGCACTGAGAGAGCCAAGACACACAGGTTATTGTAATTAACGCAATAACATTGTGAAATTGATTGACACCACTAATAAATACACAAAACAAGGCCCTGTCAAACATTACTCATGTCTTTTTTGGACTGTTCCCTTGACTTAGGCTAGATTCAAACTTGTATTTTTTGCAGATCTCTTGAATAATAGCTTGCTTCCTTGTATGCAGTATAAAAGTGTGAAAAACTATAACTTGGTTGTATTCATACAGAATTTGTCTTTATAGGAATAATGCATTATGTTTTGATCATATTTATAGAAATCTTTTAAAGTAACTTGGTGAGTTGTGGCTTAACGTGTGTGTTTGGAACACTTCAAAAAAACATTGTTTGTGATACCATTCATTCATTTTCTGTTCATAAACCAGTAGCAGTTTTATAGCATTAACTTACACTTATTTGTATGACCTTATCTTTTACCAACTACATGACTGTATGTCACTCATGCCCTCATCACTGTCAGACTCCACTTCTGCAACAGCATCCATCCAAATCACCAATAAACGTCAATACATCCCGAACTCAGGGCCTTCTCCCACTCTCTTAAAAATATTTGCCAAGGGATTTCAATTTATTTCCTTATTATAGGGGCTAAGTCTTGATGAAGTCGATCAGGGGAATAGATTATTTCCCCGGAGAATTCTCAGCTTCACTACATTACTCTTATCCATGTCAGAGGGGAATGGCTGTGTGCATCCTCACATGGCCCTGCTACAGCCTCTCCCAGCAACAGATAACACAGCAACATCTTGGCCAACAGTCATAAAGCTGGGCAGTGGTGGTGGTGCCGCGGCGCCGGGATGTCGCCATAGCGGCAGTAAAGCTGCAGTGTAGTTGCTGACGGATCAGTATTTTCATCCACGCTGCGTTCAATTCAAACCCGGCTGCAATAAAGCAGAGCTGGAACTCAACCTTTGGTCGGCTCTACGGGCTTAAGCAACCAGGAGGAAAACACCCTCCTTGTACACACACACTACACACACAGACACACACAGACACACAGACACACAGACACACAGACACACACACACACACACACACACACACACACACACACACACACACACACACACACACACACACACACACACACACACACACACACACCACACACACACACACACACACACACATACATACACATATCTGACTGTGCATTGGAGCATAGGGAAATATACCTTTGCTAAATGTATATGCATCTTATATACAATGGATGAAATAGTTAAACTAATGGTTGAAAAAGAAAGCTTACAGTAATAGGAGTGTACCAGTAAAGAGTTGGAACAATTAATTCAAGTTTTGAACTACATTTAGTTTTAATTAAATAAAAATAATGTATACAGTGTTGATGTTCAATATGTAAAATGTATATAAACAGAGGAAAAAGTGTATTATTTTAAGTTAGATAAAGTGATAAAGGGTTGGACATTTTAGCTAAAAAGGTATTAGCAAAGGTGAAGCCCTTGATAGTTAGCTTAGTAATGGATACAGACTTGGTTGAGATAACTAAGAAATATTGTATACACAGTTAAAAAGCTAGGTCAAAGTACACTGAAAAAGAACTGAAATGTTGACTTAAATAAATGTATCATGTCAACGGATTACACATAATTGTATAAGTTAGTTGAAAGCAATAATATTAGGTTTTAAATAAAAAATACTAAATTTAATATTATTGCTTTCAACTCACCTAATTGAATATTATTGAATTGTGTTGATATTATTCTATTCCTTGGTTTCAAGTTTATAAACCATTCATTGGAACATGTGGGTTGTGTTGATGTGATGGTCAGTCTGAGGAACACCTATCTATGACATACACATCTAAATCTCAATGAAGCAGCACACTTCATATATTTTTAGATCACTCAAAAGCCAAACAAATCTTCAAGTCAATAAAATATTAATCAGTTTATTACCTGAAGAAATTCAAAGAGCATTGAAAAAGGAGAGGGGACGAGAGGATACTTTACAACATTATATAATAATACAATTCCCTTACATATTAACAAAATACAGACAATAAAATTAGATTATTATGTTAAGAATAATTTCACACTCTTTTTGCCGTGCCTTTAATTGTCATTGCACTTTCATTCATTTCAAATATTAAAGCAGTAAAATGATACACTTCTGATATGCATTCATTTTGTCCGAATCAAAATGACCGTTCTGATTTTCAATTGAATCACACGATGCAGTTTGTATTTTAAAATCCCTCACACAAGCCGTTCTACAACAGTGAGCTCTATCACTGGCTGCTTTTAGTGTCAGCCACAACTTTTAACTGCCCTTATCTCAACATAAATAATGTGCCTATAAAAGTTAATCATCTACCGCTTTTAATGAGACATGTTCAACAGCCATAAAAAGGTATTTTCTGTCTCTTTTCTGTGATGACCATAACATCACTAGGTTCTTGAAAACACCCCAGAAAGCCGTGAGGAGAATATCTACCAGCAACAACATCTTAATGAAAATCAGTTATCAGCTTTAAAAAGCCTTGTCTCTTTACATTCCACATGATTGTCTGTGCATATATAAATGTATTTGTATCTCCAACAATGGAGATTTCTTTTAGGAATAGGTAGTTCTTGTTGTTTGTTGGGTGTGACTTCAGGAGAAAGGGTCAGCGTTGAGACTTGGTTCATCTTCATTGCTCGGGATGAGCTGCGTATCGTTTTCAGTCATCCTGTGGTAAAACAATTCTGTGTCGTTGTGAAGCTAAAGCATGGTCCAGGTAACGGTCAGTTACAGAGCCAGTGTTACAGTTTGTATGATCAGTTCAGGTCAAGGTTCTCCAGTCCTGAACTCATCCACCAGGTTCTGCTTCAGCCCCGACGTGATGTTCATCCAACAGTTCCTCCTCAGCTCCAGAGGAACCGTTCAGGATGGGAGCAGTTCAGGATGGGTCAGTGCGGGGGGCCTCATGCTTGGGACAGAGCGCACCAGGAGTTCTGAGGGGCCATGGAGACCGGGGTAAAGGGGTAGTCCTCGTATTTAATGTCCACATGTCCTGATCCTGTGCTGTTTAACTGAGAAGCTACCTGCGGGGAGAAAAGAGACATTTATCAGAACATGACATTAAGAAAATGGGGAAAAGAAAGGAAGCTGCAGTCTCTCAGGACGGTTTGTCTCCTCCTACCACAACAGACTGACTGGCTGGATCTACACAGGTCACACATATTCTATTCTTTATTATTATTATTTTCTTATGATGTATTATATTTGTTTATTATCAGCATTATCCTGCACAATAATCAATGACTCATCTTAACTTTTTCTATTGGTCTTTGTTTTAAAAAAATACATTTTCTAGTTCATCTTTTATGTATATTTAATGTATAGATATCGTAATTGTATAAAGCTTTGGCAATACTATATGTCATTATGGTCATGCCAATAAAGCAATTTGAATTGAATTGATTAAAAAACGAATTGATGTCAAAAAGGTTTTTGCATTGTATGATTTTGATTTGTCTTTGACCTTATTTGCCGTCATCAACCTTGAAGCAGCCTAAATGATGAAAGTGCATGTGATTATAAATATCCATATCTATGTCCATAATCTAGAAGCTAATCATTTGATTTCATTTATTGTATTCAACATAGTGCTATTTTCTCCCCATTAGTAGCTTATCATAATTTAAAATGTAATCAGGCATGTTAAAGATATGCATGTTACTTCCTGTTTTAAGAAAAGCCGTAATGGGTTTCGCCCTCACATGCACATGCTTATTTTATTAACTATGCTTTAAACAAAGCACACATAATCATTGACACTGAGTTAAAGCTTTTTCTTGGATTAGTCCATTTGAACAAGTGTCCCTAAATCACTATGGCCGAATGACCTGAGACAATAGGCAAGGCAAGGCAAGGCAAGGCAATTTATTTGTATAGCACAATTCATACAGTAATGCAATTCAAAGTGCTTTACAGGATCAAACAGAGCAAACACAATACATTGAGAAGAAATACAAAACACACAAAATAATTAATTAAAAGAAAGAAAACCATGTTTAACAGTTCAAAAATTAGAACATTTAAATTTGAAAAGCCATATTAAAAAGAAATGTTTTTAGACCTGATTTAAATGATTCTAAAGTGCTAGCCATTCTCAGATGTTCTGTGAGTTTGTTCCATGCATTAGGAGCATAGATGCAGAAGGCTGCTTTCCCACGCTTTGATCTCACAAATGGAACAGTGAGCCGGCCTGCGCCTGAAGACCTGAGGGGTCTGCTGGGTTCGTACCGCTGAAGGAGGTCCTTGATATATTTGGGTCCTAGCCCGTTTAGTGCTTTATATGTGTGCAATACAATCTTAAAATCAATTCTATCACTCACTGGAAGCCAATGCAGCGATCTCAGCACTGGAGTGATGTGATCTGTTTTTTTTGTCCGTGTTAACACTCTGGCAGCAGCATTTTGAATTAGTTGGAGTTTACGAAGTGATTTTTTTGTGAGGCCTGTGAAGATGCTGTTGCAGTAGTCAAGCTTGCTAAAAACAAATGCATGGACAAGTTTTTCAAGGTCCTGCTTGGACATAAGGTCTTTAATACGCGAGATATTTTTTAGATGGTAGTAGGCTGATCTGTTGATTGGCCTGATGTGGCTGTTAAAATTGAGGTCAGAGTCTAAAATTATACCTAAGTTTCTTGCTTGACTTTTCGGTTCGAGTAATAGTGATTCCAGGTGTGCAGAGACTTTAATTCTTTCTTCTTTGGTTCCAAAAACAATTACTTCGGTTTTTTTTTGTGTCGCCTATGGCCCACAGGACTCTCTGGGAAGTGAGATCCAAAAATGACTTGCAATTATTTGCTTATCACCTTAGGTGGCATTTTAAAGAGCAATGGATGCCTTTGAGATGGTAACTTATAAATAAAAAAAGGTTATTTTAAATAGGGAAGGGAGGGGACTACCCTTAAAAGTCTCATGTAGGGGACAACAAAGTCTGGGAAAACACTGAACTATGTCTTCTGTTTCTCTTGAGGGAGCTCACTCACGTGTAGAAAATAACCCATCATGGTTATCTTGAGATAAGGCCTGTTCACATCAGCATTTAAAACCTAACATTAAACTGCAAAAATAAATTCATTCCAATGGATTAGACTAGAGGATCAGTGGATCCACTTGTAAAGATATCAGAGTTCTACTTTGGTCGACTGTGTGCCAATGACCAATAGAAAGCTGTCTTGATGCCGCTGACCTTTGACCAACAGTCTAGGCCCTGTGGGCATCAAACTGATGCAGTGAGAACATCATCTGACAGAATTGCAGGCATTTAACCAACAGTTTGGATTTCAAGCCACATAAACAAAAGACTCATTTCTGGGTTTAAGGACATGTTCTTGCAGCACACTACTCTACAGCAACTGAGCTAGCAAGTGTGCTAATGATCAGCTAGAGCTGTTTTCCACCTCCAACAATTTCAAAAATTACTTTTTTTGGAGAGGAGGTTTACCTGAGAGGCAGATGTGACGGTCTGTCCGGCGTAGGGTGAGGGGGCCATGTTGGGTTCGCTCTTGATGGTGGAGGCGTGTTCTGAGACGGACAGGGAGTTTGGGGAGCTGGTGTCAGAGTTAGTGCAGCCTAAAGAAAAACAGGACCGTCAAATGAGTTCTCAGATTGAAAATAAACCCACAACTATGAGCCTGTAATCAGACACCCTTCAGTATTATAGTATATATATATTACATAATAGTGATTTATTTGATGACCTTCAATCATTAGCATTTTTACCAGCTTTAGGGCGTTTTCACAAACCAACATTTAGTCAAATATCTTAACATTTGGAAAGACTTCTACAAATACATCTCTGGCCTTACTTTTTCTTACACACCCTTTAGCAAATGTAGTATTTTTAGTTTGGTCCACTTTAATTTCTGCACAAATTGAAGTAGAATAAATAGAAAACAAACCAAAAGTATCAACCTCACCCTGATTTGGACAAATGTCGTGTTCAGGTCAAATTGGCCAAATCACTACACTCATCAGTCATAACTATTGTGAATTAAATGTGATGACTCAAGGCCTTATGATATCCTCCACAGTAGGCATTTGAACATAAACTGCTGATAATCACTTTCATTACATTTTGAGTGGTTTAGTCAACTTTGTAACACCTGACAGTGCCGGGCATTGTCTGGTAGTCCCGGTCAGACAATGTTTACAGCTTGAAAAGGTGTTGAATAAAAACATGTTTTATGTAAGAGCAGATTGGTCAAATTTGAGCAGAAACACCAAAGTAAGGGGGAAGAAACTAACACAACAGGAGGATTAAAACTAACATTTTAGTTTACCCTAACAAGTCAAAGTACATCAAACTGTGTATTTAGATTCCTTTGTCCATCTTCCCCACCTACTACACTCCATTCTCCCCTTCCTTACTTCAGGGACCACAGAAGAAAAATAGCCTATTGGCTAACTGATTAATATGCACAGTCGCCGTTAAATAAATGAAAAAAATTAGGCCGTACCTGTGGATGTTTTATTCTTGGGCATTTTGGGTTTGCGCTTCCTGGTCTGAATGCTCTCTTTCTTCATGGCCAGAGGTCTGGCCACCTGATGGGAGTAGATCAACACACATTAGCTCCCAGTGATACAGTCTGAGGTGTCATGACAACCCACACAGCCCCCCCCCCACACTGATAACAATGACCACAATGCCCTTGGAGAGGTTTTACACTGCGCAAATAATGGGCTGCTTTGTTTTTGCTGTGGTTTGGAGCTGTTTCACACACGAGTAAACGTTATATATTAGGATCCAGCATGAGCATTGGCTATTCTTCCTGGGATCCGCACACACAGTCAACAGCTCATTATTTCATGCAATCAACAGTTGAGTATTAAGTGAACCAAAACTATCCTCCTATTATAACCATCATTAAGGATAACATGACTTTGGAAACGTACTTTGGCAATGAACCCCAGCTGAGCATGGCTCTCTGTATGACTGTTTTCTGTTCCATATTTGATTTAGTTTTGGGGAAGATGAACCTTCCTTCTGTTGCATGTTGTGTTTGATAGTTATGTTGGGCAAACTACGATATAAACCTATGTGATAATAAGAGCGTCACTGCAATATTCCTTGCAAAATAACAAAGCATAAGGCCCTCTGACTGACAGTTAACCAGTTGAGTTTCTGCAGCATTTCCCTCACACTGGTTCTGATGGAGCAGTGTGTTATCTTGTGCTACTTTGTGGAGCTCTTTCACTGCAGCACTGGACCAGATTACACAACAATAATAAAGCTGCAACAGAACCAATGCATTTAAAACCTGTGTGAGAAAAGCCTGGCTCTGCACAGGAGGCACCATAAAGAGATATGGACTCTGTGGAGGTTCGTACCCCGTGCAGCTTCATGTAGAGGCCGCAGGCGTTGCACACGGGCTCCCCGTCAGCGTTGCGCCTCCACAAGGTGGTGGTGCTGGTGTGGCAGTTAGTGCAGCAGAGCCCGGCCCGGCGAGAGGTGGTCTGCTGCAGGAGGGGGGGGGGGGGGGGAAGACATTTCAATAATTCACAAATCAATAATTGTGCAATATAAAGACTAACTTTGCAATAGTAATTTTTAACTAAAAGCATTCATTTTTATACATTTCCCAACATCTCATTTTTATAAGGTCTCAATACGATATGTTATTTATGTCACTTGGTTCTTTTAAATTGCTGCTACACATTTTTTACCCATGGTTGGGTAATTCTTTGACTTTATTTTTTATTGTATTACTAATGTGTGCTTTTCTTTTCTATTATTGCATGCCTTTTTTTCCTGCTATGCCATTTTTGCTGTAACACTGTAAATGTCCCCGCTGTAGGACTAATACATTCTGATTCTGATCGCTTCGGTTGGCTGAAACCCAATTCATTTGTTTGAGTCAGAAATAGACTCACAATCCTAACCCTCAACTCTATGTATCCATGATCTATAGTGTGTGGAAGTTCAGTTTTCCACAATGTTTTGACAATGAATTGCAGGATGTCAGAAAGCGTTTGCTGCAACAATGATGCATGTTCCAATCTAAATGCAAACATTTAAATAATGCATTTGTGGGGCAACCTTTAAAGACAGCTTGAATATTGTGTACGCCACTCTCTATGGTGAGAATATCAGCTTGGTTTCTCACAACAACAGTCACGTTGCTTTGGAAAGCCTCGTCTAAAAGCGGCTCTCAAGGGCAAGGTCGCTGCAGGACAAATAAAAGAGGGAAAACAGCCGAGATGTTGGGCAACTCACAGCTGCTGCAGAGAGAAATATACTGCGGGGGGCCTTGACACCCACCCAGCAAACACACCACACAGCTCTCCCATTTCATAAACCTCAGTTGCCAGGCAATGCAATAATTTACAAACTTTACAACCCTAATTATATTTAAAAACATTTTAGAAGGCCTCACAAAATACTTTAATGTAAATTAAAATGTGAAGGGATGTGTGTAATGTGGTGATTGCATTATTCACCCACGGATCTATGGGTTGGGGTATTGTTCCGCACGGACATTTTAGTTAACCGGATTTCCTGTTGATGTGAAATCCGACAACATTTAAAAAAATAAAATAATACTTCATTCCGAGTGTTCTTGCTTTTCTCTTTGGCGGTCATCACATAACGGCATTGTAATACACGGTTCGGCTGCATTAAATATTACATATCTGCCGTAGTTCTCTATTTATAGAGCCCTGATCAGAAGACTTCTAGACAAACAGGAACAACTGCCGCCGAAACTGAAAACGTGACGTGGATCATAAATATATCAGCAATTAAACAACATCTTCAATTTCTCTTCACACAATACGTCTCCTTGCAGTATCAACACTAATTCGGCTGACTTTTATATTTGATCCAATTGGTAGATAGGCTGTATTTACACCATAAAGGTGCACAGCTGATAGAAAGGGACACCTGGTGGTTAAAGCACGTTATTGAAATGTATTATTTTTATTATTAGATATTAATAGGAGACACAGACAGACAAACTAATAAGGCTTTATTTAAAGATTAAAGAATACTTTAGGTTAAGGTCTTATTTTGAATAAGAAAAAAGCTTTGGGGGTATACATATTAAGCCTGACAAAGTACTAATATATTGCTTTCCTACAATGTTAACTACTGTATGTTTAAGCACTTATTTTAACTGATATTATACATATGTATTATACTCTTATAAGATGTATGTAGATAGTATAAGAAATGTGCAGAATATGACAGTTTCATGGTGGAGGTATCCATCCATCCATCTTCTCCCGCTTATCCGTGGTCGGGTCGCGGGGGTAGCAGTTCCAGCAGAGCCCCAAACTTTCTTTTCCCTGGCGACATCAACCAGCTCTGACTGGGGGATCCCAAGGCGCTCCCAGGCCAGCGAAGAGATATAATCCCTCCACCTGGTCCTAGGTCTACCCCTTGGTCTCTTCCCAGCTGGACGTGCCTGGAACACCTCCCTATGGAGGCGCCCAGGTGGCATCCTAACTAAGTGCCCGAATCTAGTTAGGTATACACACATATTGATAGATGTCTTGTAATGCACTGTTAAGGAACCTGCGACCCAAGTTTTTCATCTCCGACCTTGTCAGGTATTGAATATTTAATAAATAAAGAACCCGTTCAAATCCAGTTTTGGACAGTCTGCCGTGGTTCCATCCCATTTCAAAGTGCTGTTCAACGCTCGGCGTAACCCTGGGCGCACACTCAAACATCCAATCACAGAGCTTGAGGACTATCACGGGATTTGTCAAGCGAAGCGGAGAGAATACTTACTTCCGGGTGTAAAATTCTCTAAAGCAAATTAGCTGCTCCGACCGTCGGTCCTGACGGACTCCAACTTGTGTTTATTAAAAAAACAAATAAATAAACACAGTGTGTGGTTTAGAAAAGAATACAAAATTAGAAGGAAAAAACGATGAAACAATACAGATTTCAGTATTCTGAGCCCCTACTCTCCCCATAACTGACGGCAAGACAAGTCCTACATTATTCAATTAAAATAAAGAAGTAAAAACAATAAGTGTGGCTTGATATTGAGTAAGAAAAATGTTGATAAACGCTGTGAGAATGGATCTGCGGAGAGCATTTCGCCGCGATCCCAACTCCTCTATTACCAACGTTCAGGGAGCTCTATGCAAGTCAATGGGACGCCCTGACCGTTGAAAACTGACTCTCAAGGGGTCGTAATAGCGTGACGGGGAGGGGCCCTGATTGACCGTCAACATGTGACGTGAGAACGTTGAAAACGTTGAGAACGTGTTGGTTTCAATGAACATCACAATCCAAAGTAACTTGTAGCTGAGTGGCAAATTGCCACTGTAAAAAAATAGGATAATTATTATTAATGATTGTTTAAGTATGTTTGCATTTATATTCTAATGAACAGTTACAATTTAAATTTAAATCGTCATCAATCTGTTCAGATGTATTGGTGTGTGTGTGTGTGTGTGTGTGTGTGTGTGTGTGTGTGTGTGTGTGTGTGTGTGTGTGTGTGTGTGTGTGTGTGTGTGTGTGTGTGTGTGTGTGTGTGTGTGCGTGCGTGTGTGTGTGTGTGTGTCTCACCAGTCGTTTCTGCGGTTTGATAAGCGGCCGGTTGATCCCGTTCATCTTGTGGTACAGCCCGCAGGCGTTGCATAGGTAGTGCCCGGTCCCGTCCCGGCGCCACAGCGGGGTGGACACCGAGCCGCAGTTCACACACTCCCGGCCCTCCGTGCACATGTCGTCGATCAGGTCTGCCCGGGGAGAGACACACTGGGTGTTAGGATGTAGCCGGTGTTAAAAGCACATTAACATCAGAACTCCTTTTATTCTTTATTTGGCGCAAATATGATTATTTTATTCTTTAAAGCTGCATCACAACCTTCTGTCCAGTCAGCGCAGTCTGAATCATCAACCTTCTATTGTTATTCGATATATCTGCTTATAAACATAGTTGTTGTAGGCTACTTTGTATTTATCGTCTCAGCTACATGCAAACTGATGTTTTCTTTGTATTCAGTATAAATAAAATACAACGAGAGCCTTATCGTGTGTAATTTCTTTGTTTATGTGGAAGAAAATACATATATATGTTCTTCTAATAACAACATGCTGAGGAGGAGACATAAATTCATAATCTGGAAACAAATTCCTGTTTACGAGAACTAACGTAGGCGCGGAGGAGGAGGGGGGGGGTCTGGTTACGCGCCAGTGCATGATGAATAGCCATGAGTAGGAATGTACCCCTCTCCCCCCATCCCCTCCGTGATGAAGAGACATCAAACCCCCAGAATGGATGAATGGAGAGACAGACTGATGGAGAGGGGGTGTTCTGTGTTATCAGCTTGGAGGATCCCCCCCACTCCATCACAGCTCTGACACACGACGGACTCCTGGCATTAATTTCCCATATTCCTTATCCCTCAATTCAGAGAACGAAGAAGAGAGGAGGCTCTGTGATTGGTTCTTATCACACAGCCAAATTCATGTTGAAATGACCATGAAGTTGTCTCAGTGAATAAGAGCTTATAATATATAATGCCATAAACATTAATGACACGACTCTGTTCAGGGCAGGACTTTGGCTCACAGTTACAGTTGAAATACTTCATTCACTTCAGCATTTCCTGTTTCACACTTCTGCTTAACAACAACTCATTTGCTAATATTTCACTTCACATGTGTCTTAATTAATCATTAATAATAAATAGTGTCCCTAACATGCATTATTATTGGCACTGCCGCCCGCCACTGTGTGACTGTGTGCTTCCATCAGATACTTCAAAGCAGCCTCAGGTAAAGATCCAGGTGAGAACTGTGTGTGTGTGTGTGCGTGTGTGTGTGTGTGTGTGTGTGTGTGTGTGTGTGTGTGTGTGTGTGTGTGTGTGTGTGTGTGTGTGTGTGTGTGTGTGTGTGTGTGTGTGTGTGTGTGTGTGTGTGTGTGTGTGTATTGGACTGCTGTAATCACAACAGTGCACTGTTCGCGGGATTACATTAACCTTTTTAATTGATTGTTTTTAGAGCTTCTCTCTGTGAGGAACGTGTATTGTGTGAATGAGGAGGATTGTTTGGGAGACTTTGGTTCGATCTGCAGGTCCTGTCACAGACCTGCAGATCTGCTCTAATAAATATCCAGCCGCCTCATAATGTAGGCCTGATACACGAACCAACTGAACTGACCCAGGCAGGGGGGCAACTTCTAAAAAATCGAAAGCAAATACTGTCCATTGTATAATAAATAATAATGGACATTTGCTACACTTTTAAATGTAGCAGCTTTAATGAATGATGAAATATGAACGAACATATTCTTAACTTTGAGTGATTTATAGCAATCAAATGAAAAAGCCTACAGGTGGGGCCATACAAACATTAACTTTTCTAAATTTGATTCTGCACTTTTTAAATAGTTTTAATTCGAATTTAAATATAAACATTTATATTGTAAGAGTTACAAATACAACTAGTGAGTATACAAATAATATGTTCAGTAATTAAAAAAGACTCTACGTTTGTCTTAGACCTTTGGTTAGTTTAAATGCGCTTCTCATTTAAAATATTAATTTTAAAGTTTGACTTCAAGAAATAAACGTATCTTTATGTTCGATGTAGAAATCAGTTTTGGGGTCTTTCTTACCCAGACTGGTCCTCCTCCCGGACAGGCCTCCATGCCGGCCCTGCAGACTGATCATCCCGCTCTCGAAGTGTCCTGGTGTCCAGGAGGACGTCGCCATCTCAGGGCTCATGTACGCGTACGGGCTGGAGTAGGATCCTCCGACCGAGCGTACCAGCGCGCCCCCATACTGCTCCGCCCGGGAGCCGTTCCCGAGCACCAGCGGGCTCTGATAGCTGGCCTCCCGCCCCGTGCTGCTGCTGACCGGCGGGCTGTGCGAGTACGAGAAGCCGTGCGGGGCAGGGTGAGGGCTGCTGGGCGTAAAGGAGGAGCAGTCCGCGGCGCTCTGGGGCCAGCCGTGGTGCCCGCCGAGGCCGTGGGACTGGTGGGCCGAGTCGCAGGTCTGCAGGTAGGGCAGGGTGGGCAGCATGGCCGGGACCCTGCTGGTGGGCACGTAGACCGGGGAGCTGGCGGAGGGGTGCATGTAGTTCCCGGTGTCGTGTGCGTAAGGGGACTGGTTGGACAAGGCCAGGCTCTGATACATTTTCACAACTTTGTGGCGTAAACTGTAGTTTTAATTTGTTAGGCTGGGACCAGTCCTGTGGAGGCGAGCCTCTTCCTCCTGCTGCAGGATTATTAATCTGGGCCTTTTTTAACAACTAATTTAAATTCTGGAGAATTCTGTCCTATGGAGAAAAAAAAGATTTATTAAACGTGTGATATGAAGAAATTACTTCAAAAAGTTCAACGGCATCTGATTTTTAAAATAAGTTATCATTTGTAATCATTCATAGGCCTACTCTATATACACTTCAGTTAAATATATGGTGGTAATCCGTTTCCACATACATTTCACAGTGTATAAGCAAGTTATAAAATCGAAAATAGTTCATTTGCGAGGTAAAGTAAGGTTGGCTCGTGAGAATAGATGTCTGGAAAAAAGTCAACAATGATCCACCATCAGTCATATCTCATCTCTATCACAGTGACACATTAAAGTGGCATTAACGGCCTGATATCTGTCCATGCAGATAGAGACACTATCACTGCCTCATTCAATCACAACCATAACGGAAATCAAACAACAGATATGGAGCTGTGTTCCATATCTGCCATACATATATTTTCTATCAATAGTACCTCAAATCACATACAGGGCTGATAATAGCGCGTGCTGATGAGGAACAGCATTTATTTCCAAGGGCTCTCAGTGTATTATCTCACCAGATAAGGACGGGCGTGCGATAAAGCAGTCCGGTCCTCTGTACCACAGCGCATAAAACGTATTCCCTCCACACAGAGACACGTACCAGGCAGCGCGAGGACTCTCTCCAAAGATCTCGTTTTACGCGTAAAAGCTGCGCGCACCAAAAGAAACCAAAGTGGTGTTTTTGTTCCAGGAGGACTGCGGAGTTTCTCTTCCTGCAGCTGTATCTGGAGATAGTTACTGCCGCTGATAATTGCTGGTATGGGTGTGCTCCTATTCGCTCCCCTACTGGAAGATTTGTACCGGACAAAAACACGTGACGCGCTCGGCTGCTCCGAGGTAGGCCTTTTGGTGGGAAAGAGGGAGGGAGGGCGACAGGGAGGGGGAGGGGGAGGTCCCCTGGCTGGGAGGAGAGGGCCCACATCTTAGGGTTGAGGGGTGCTAAAGTAGCGACTTTATTTGCACCTGCGACATTTCGTGATTGTTATTGTGTTTTAGATAGTAGATACTTTATGAAGTTGGGAAATGATTTTGTCAGAGCAGCATTATGGACAGTCAATCTGCAAGAATTACAACATTACTTTAAAAAACAATATATACATATTCTCCTTAAAAAATACCTATATGCAGAGGAGTATCTAAACATTATACAGAATACAATTGAATACTCTCTAATATACCAATCTACTGAACATATAAACATAGTGTAGGCTACTATACACATTATAAAAGTGTGTATGAAATGAAAAGTACTATATATCCTGTGGTATAGGCTGCAATATGTACAGTATGTGCAAAGTGTTCATGATCATAGAGAGGGAGTCCCTGAACAAACTGCAGCCAGAGGAGAGGGCTTGGTGGAGGTGTTTTCCTTCTGAAGGAGGACACAACATACATCCAGGCACAACGTGAAGGATGAACCCCAACAACCTGCAGGAGGCTCATTTTAAATGTATTTACAATACATATTATGCATCAGAATGACTCATAGAGAAAGGCTTTTATGCCTTTGAAATCATTGGTGATATTTACACTTGATTATATTTACGGGTTTAATGTGTTATTAAACCCACGATGATGATAATTATGACGAATCATGTGATCATAATGATCCATCTTTAAAATGTAGGAAATAATTCAAATATTTCGGATAATATTGGCTACTCTTCTCACTTTTTCTGTCCGTTACTTGAAAATTGAATTTATTCAAGATGTTATCGCTTAATAAAACTGGACATGACCAATGTTAGCCATAAGCCACTAAAAGAAAACACCTTCCTGTTCGGAATATAGAAAAACAGATAGTTAAATGTGTGAAAGGGAGAGCTTTTACAAACAGATAAATGTGACGATAAGAATTACGAGCAATAACTAACCAGTGATGGAACAACGTTATGCTGTGTTAAAGGAAATCATTTAGCAGCAGAGATATGACGGGATAAAACGCTGACGCTTAAATAAAGGAGGATTACTAAGGTTATGATAGTTCACATACATAAATATACATTCAACAATACATAGGCTAAATAAATAAAAACGAATACATGTGTGCTGATGAAACGGCCCTATAGGCCTAATGGCTATTTGTTCCGCTGATTCGGCCTATAGCCTATGTTTGTTCATATTTTGGGACAACTTTCTGGCCAACAAATTATTGTTGCGAGAAATGATATCGGAAAATATAAGTGAACGGCTGACTGAGCTACTGTAGGAAAAATCCCTTCAAAAAATAAACATATTTACGGGAGCGTTTTTGATGTAATGAAATATGAAACTCAAATAGGGGCTTGTTAGTATTCAACATCTGACAATTGAAGAACGGCCGAGAGTGATCGGAGGAGGAATACAGCGACACAGACGAGCATTCAAACCATCAATGTGTGAAAGAGACATCATGAAAACAGTCAGTAGTAAATATCATATTTACATCATTTAGGGCAGCCTACAAATTGTAATTATTTCTCGGGATGCCTTCCTTTCCTTGGTCTTTTATTATCAGATTATTGCCTTTCTTTCAGCTTTTATCCAAAGAGGCTTACAATCAGTGCCTTTCAACCGACCAATAACACTCATGTCTGCTGTCTCGTTATGCGGCTTCCCCGATGGTTTCCTCAGGATTGTAGCTGACATCCTCGTGGATTCATCTTCTTATTACAGACACATGCATTTCCTAACATTCGGTCTATATGCTGTAATTGTATTATCTCTTCGATTTACACACGGCATCTATTGCACGTCTGTCCGTCCTGGGAGAGGGATCCCTCCTCTGTTGCTCTCCCTGAGGTTTCTCCCATGTTCCCCTTTAAACTGTGGGTTTTCTCCGGAAGTTTTTCCTTGTACGATGTGAGGGTCTAAGGACAGAGGGTCTAAGGACAGAGGGTGTCGTTTTTCTCATACTGATGTTCTGAACAATCTGTGCTGTTGTATTTGCTGTAAAGTGTCTCTACTGTAGGCTATTTTTATTATATGTACAGCACTTTGGCTCGACCAAAAATCGTTTATAAATGTGCTATATAAATAAAACTTGATTTGATTTGAATGGAGTCCATGAATGAACCCTTCCGTCTGTCTTCTAATTATTCTTCATAATGCAGGGTGTGTTACCTGCTTGAAGAGAAACGAAGAACAAGCATTTGTTATTCCGTTCATTTGATATATTTGAACACTGAAACAGTAGAGTGTAAACATTGCGCAGTGAAACATCTTTAAACCACTGGATTGTTCAACACTGTCACATTAAAATGCAGATGAATAAATAAATAAATGATTTAGATAAAAGAGGAACGTAGGTTATTTCCGCACCAATGCAGTTCAACGTGTCTCAATTAATGAATTGAATATACTTTTTAACATTTAAAACAACAGTACAAAATGTAGATCTAAAAAATAAACACTGGAACATTTACAACAGACTTTCACATTAAGGACATCAATGAACATTTCATGTGCAAAGAAGGAAGAAGAACATATCATCTATGACATCAATCAATACTCCAAAACCTCACAATTAAACAGCTGTATTTATCTTCATCAAATATTCTCCAAAAGGAAGAATGCAGCATAGAGCATAGTGCATCAGAGGAACAGTTGAAATATTGTGAATACGATTAACCCCTTCCTTGTCAACAGTTGAAAAATCAAGCTCTATACCACTCATGGCTTTCTGACAGGAAGTCATCTGACATACCGCTTTCCCCTTTCTACAATTAAGTTGAATTCAATAAATACATATAATGTGTTCGTGAAATGTAGAGGTGCAGTAAACTGATGTTGTCACCTTTGGACGTCACATAGGTGCAGCTCCCTTCACCAGAGTGTTCAAGAGTATGAATTATTTTCACCATGTTGTGTTGCCGTCAGCCACGTGCCATGTGTTCTAATTATTGCAAGAAGCTATGATATACATGACTTATAGTGTTGTATATGTTTGCAGCACTGAATAAGCTTCACTGTTGTGAGAGATGCTGGAGTTGTTAACTTCACTCCCTCTTGTTTAGGTGACACGGCATCATATGCTGCAGACAAAATGTCCAAAGGTCACTTTGAAAATATTGAACATAATATGGGATTTAATGTTTTATATTCATAGAAACACAAATGCATTTGTTTAGAAAGCAATACATGTATAACAAAAAATAAATTAAAAATTAAAAAATGATAAAAATGGAAACAAAGAAACATATATAAAGCACAACAAATGCAGGCACTAGAAATACATTTTAAAAATCAAAGCAGTATTACAAGAATTAAAAAAACGTACAGATGGGATAATCAGAGTTGAATACTTTAGGGCAGACGCAGAGAGTCTGATGAGAACAATCTGCTGCAGTTCTGACCAAACAAGGGGAAGATAGGGACATGGTTTAAAAGAAAGGCTAACAACGCGACGCTGAGCAGTTCACAACGAGGTTGACAGAGAACACACATTCAGCCAGAGCCTGGTTTCAAAAAGTGTTCAATAACTCTGCACAGGTTCCTCATCTCCTGGGTGCTGGTTGCAGAGTTCAGATGACTTTCCAACGTCCACACAGTTACCCTTTTACATTGAATCATCCGGTATACTCATAGTGCATTTGACCATGATCACACGTATGCAGTGGTGAAATGTATTGAAGTACATTCAGTATTGTACTTAATTAAGATTTTAGGGTACTTGCACTTTACCTGCATATGTGTATGTTATCCTACTTTATACTTCTACTCCACTACAATTTGGAAGCAAACATTGTACTTTTTACTCTACTAAATGTTTTTGACAAAATGAGTTGCTATACTTTACAGATTCAAATTATTAGCTAAAACTAAATAAACTAATAAATAAACTATGATATGTAATTATAGGTTAAGATATCTAGCAGCTGTATATTAGAACACATTTATGCATAAAACAAAAAAAATCCAGTATTTTATTATATATGATTCTTAAATGGGACATAATACACAGGAAGTACTTTTATTACTTTAAGTATATTTTGATGCTAATACTTTTGTACTTAAGTACAGAGTATTTTTACACTGTATTATTTCTACTTTTACCCCTCCTGTTGTGTTCGGGTCAAATCTGACAGATTTACTACTTTCATCATAACTTTGTTGTTTTTCATTCGATTGCATTAAGGCTTCATGATATCCTTCACAGTAGACATTTGGACATATCAAATTGCTGATCACCACTTTCATTGAATTTTGGATGATTTAGTCAACTTTGTAACACCATGGTGTTCCTGGTCAGGAATTAGTAACCATCCGGATCACACACACACACACACACACACACACACACACACACACACACACACACACACACACACACACACACACACACACACACACACACACACACACACACACACACCCACACACACACACACACACACACACACACACACACACACACACACACACACACACACACACACACACACACATACACACACACACACACACACACACCACTCTAGATGTGTTCCCCCCCTTCTGTGCCCAATCCCTCCATGTGCATCACACCTGGCACTCACAAACACACACACACACACACACACACACACACACACACACACACACACACATACATACACACACACACACACACACACACACACACACACACACACACACACACACTCTTGATGTGTTCCCCCCCTTCTGTGCCCAATCCCCCCATGTGCATCACACCTGGCACTCACAAACACACACACACACACACACACACACACACACACACACACACACACACACATACATACACACACAAACACACACACACACACACACACACACACACACACCAATTTGAAACATTTCCCGCTCTTATGTGCCC